TTAGCATGGTAGCGTTAGCATGGTAGCGTTAGCATGGTAGCGTTAGCGTGCCGACGTGGGCACACCTCCCTGAAGAAGTGGGTGGATGGCCTGTGTCTCATTTGCATTTAAAGAGACAGGCACTCCAAAGCGAGCGCTCTGAACGGGGCTGTTTTGGGTTAGGGTTAGGGTTAGGGTTAGGGTTAGGGTTCGGGTTAGGCAGGGGGACTGAACTGCTATTGGGCTTCATCCTTATGGGATTTTGACCAAAGCTTGTAACAGACATTACATTAGGACACCAGGGAGCTAGCTTAACTTGTTGAAATAGGGTATAATATGTCTCCTTTAAGCAAAAACTAGCTGTGCAGTGACCTTTTGGATGTATTTAATATCTAAATTTTCTTCTGTAACCAAAACAGATACACGAGTTCAGCAAGAAGTAGCAGCAGTTTTTGATCCCGTCTCTTAAAAAAGCATGTTTTTTCCCCTTGTCCTACTCATGGTGTGGGTTCGTATTGAATGAATCTTTGTCATTATCACAAGAACAACGAAATTTAAAAAGTGCCAAAAATCAGTGCATATGCTAAAAAAAGAAAAAATAATTAATTAATTAATTTACTAGCAATATAAGAAATAAATTACCAAAAAAACAAACAAAAAAAAACAACAACTAATAAATAAGAATAGCACATTCTCACACACATCATCCATGATGATTAATAGTTATTTTTGGTTGCATTTAGTTTTGTTGCCGGGTAAAAACTGTCTCTAAGACGGTTGGTTCTTGTTCTGATTGCTCTGTATCATCAGTGTAAAGGGAGAATGTCCGGGATGAGGAGTGTCCTTTGTGATGTGTTGTGCCTTTTTTAGAAAGCCGTCGCTGTATAACTAAAGACGTGAGTAGAAAAGGCAAAAAGGTGAAGCCCCTCCACTCTGAAGCTTCATAAACCGTCCCAGAGGTATTTGGAGTGGAACTGGTCCAATCTGGCTCCATCACAGACGGAATCAACACGGGAGGATCCATCCAACATGGTTTTTGTATTTTAGACCAACACATTCCTAAAAAGTTGGAACAGTAAATAATGTCTTTACCTCCTCCAGGTCTCAGGTGTTCTGACATAGAGGATAAAATGATAAAAAGTGTGAAGTGTTTTTTTTGTCCTGGAAATGACGTGTCCTTGAAGGTAGCACACTCTTCTGTTAACCCTATAATGCCAAATGTATCATATTTGATTCATACGGTTTCTGAAGTCTTTTGGATCTGAGACTTTTTGCATCATTCAGTGGTAAAAGCTTTGCTCAAACCCCTGTTGTACACATTCAGATACACCTGATAACAGCCAGTAGAAGACGACACCAACATATATTTCTGACTTATTGCACGCTAATTTGATCAAAATAATTTCTGTTTTTTTTTTTCTTCATATGTTGTTGAGGGGCCAAAGAAAGACTTCAGACTAAAAAAATCCAAAATTCTTGCTATTTTTCTTGGATCAGGCTTTAAAGGGTTAAAAGAAGCAGCCGTTTCTGGTAGCAGGTTAGAAATGTTTAATCCCAGATAGCTGTTCTTTAATAAGGATGGCACGTTAGCCACTTTGTTGTGGTTTGAAATTGGAACATAAACTTCTCGTTTGCTAAACAGAACACTAGATTTCCATCATTTTTACATGAAAAGTGCTGGACAGGAAAACAGTCCGTCACTCTCTATGCTTTCGAGGACAGAAGTGCAAACAGCCTGCACACATGGGCGTATTGATTTTGTTCTTGTCGATTAACTGACGAACTGTGAACTTTTCTGCATTAAAGCTGCATCACAGAAGTGGAAATGAGCTTTGGGGGGCCCTGCTTCCCCCCCCCCCCTCCCATCCCAGAGCCTGGCTTTGGGACTACTAGCCGAGAACAGTCTGGATGTTCCTTATGGGGTTAGCATCCTTTTCTTAAAACAAAGATCTGGAATGCTGATTGATGTGAGCACAATCTATGTTTCCTCCATCCCAGAAGTCCAGAGAAAATGGACCCGGTTCCCATAGAGTTCCCGTCTTGCCCATCTTTGCAGCTCAGAGACTCATGGACACTGACTTCACTTTCAAAAATTGCTTTAGCGAGACTTTTTTGGAATGTGTTGCATGCTAAAAAAAAGTTCCAAATGGATGTATATTATTAACAAAAGATGTTGATGCTGTGCAGCAAAGTAATTGGAAGAATTAAATTTAACATGCTAACGTTGGATTTGTAGCAGAATTGTGCAATGGTGGACCTCCAAGCAGCATCTTTGCTTCATGACTGTGTTTCAGGACCATCGATTTAAATCTGGCTGTGATCCCATCTCCTTTATTTGATGGAGGCACAGTGTAACTGAGTACATCCTAATTCAGTTGGTAAAACAATGTCTTTAAAAAAACATCTCCAATTAACTCATCACTAGAATTTGACACTGACCAATAGACAACACTCACTACTACCACTGTGTAGTGCAGATAAAAATAGGGAATTTATTTAATGACATTAAATAAATCAAATGATTGTGATTAATATTCGTACATAAGAATCTTTAAATATATTTTTTGTTTTTGGTTGTAAATTTGGCATCAAAGTCCCTATTATATTTTGTATTTTATTTTTATTTTTTTCGTTCAATTAATTTGTTGTGAGGAGAAAAAAACATTAAACTAGTTTTAATTTTGATCGTTCATGGACGTGGAGATCTAATTTGTCGGTTAGCAAATTAGAATATTTTAGTTTTTGGTTGCTAGGAGAACAGCACCCTGTGATTGGTTACTGTTAGACCACTTGAAAATTTAGTCAATAAACGAATAAATTGTGAATATTCTGGTAAAATCTCATACCAGATATTTGTATTTTTTTTATCCATTAACTCGTTTAGTTACGTTTATTCATTATTAAAATGGACAAGGCAAAGAGAATGTGAATTTACCTGAACCGGAAGTTGTTCTTTACGGCAGCTGTCGTAAAGCCGGTGTGGGGCGTTTTCGTGTCGGTAAAGTCCGCATAGGCACGGATCACACGGGGGTCTCTGCCCGCTAGTTTTTCCTGTATGCCGGCGGTAATATTTGCGTGAGACATGCAAGACAAGTATAACGAGATAGGTTTTGTCCAGCAAATACTGGGTTTGAATTTGGTCCCGAGGAAAAATGGCACAATGCGAGGAAACGACACGTCTCTCAGCGACTTTTCAGGTGAGCTATTAGCTGGCTAGCTTAATTTATGATAGAAGTGTTAAAATATTTCACTCAAGTATCGCTGATGTCACGGAATAAAGTGGCTGTTTTTATTTAGTTTTTATTTTAGTTTTTTTTTTGTCTTCTTTCCGGATTTTTATCATTCGGACCAACGAGGGAAATGTTTAAATGCCGGCTTATGCTGTTAGCATTGTTTTGGTACTTTAACGGTTGCTAGCTAACGTTTTAAAACTTAAATGCTTTCTAAGGAGGGTTGAGAGTTAATATATATGAACACTCTCAAAATATAGTTGTAGATATATACACATTCTGACATTAATGAGATGTCTCTGTGTTGTGAGGTTCTTGTGTGGCACTTAGCACCGTCCTGAGTTGTCAAAAAAGTCGGTCACGATTTGTTTTTCTTCCCAAATACAGGCCGTTTTTAGATGTCATCTCCACTGAGTTGACAGGCAAAGCGAGCACTCGTATTTACGCTATTTAGCATCACTTTTCTGTGTCCACGTTGTTTTATTTGTAAGGTTTGAGCCTCAGAAGGTGACAGTTCCTACCCTATCTTCTCCTGGGGCTAAAAAAAACTTTGCTAGTGACCAAAATCTGAAATGGGAGGATTCAGTCAGAACATTGAAAAGCTCCTCCACTGCGATCACTTGTCATTTAAAGAGGACCACGTTTAGATTTAGACTTAGACAGCAAAGAGAGAGAGGGAAGCACAGAAAGAGGAGTAGAGGGTCCAGAGGTAAGAGTTAGGATAGGAGATGGTCTGTAACCGGGGGTAACCGGTGAAACTCAGTGAACAGAGTGGGGGGGAGTGAGACTTTTTGGGCTGATAGGAGCTCGGTGAACGGTGGTTGAAGCCTTATGAGAAGTAAGAGGTAAGAGTTAGGATAGGAGATGCTCTGTAACCGGGGGCAACCAGTGAAACTCAGTGAACACAGTGGGGGGGAAGTGAGACTTTTTGGGCTGATAGGAGCTCAGTGAACAGTGGTTGAAGCCTTATGAGAAGTAAGAGCTAAGAGTTAGGATAGGAGATGCTCTGTAACCGGGGGCAACCAGTGAAACTCAGTGAACAGAGGGAGGGACATGAGACTTTTTGGGCTGATTGGAGCTCACTGAACAGTGGTTGAAGCCTTATGAGAAGTAAGAGTTAGGATAGGAGATGCTCTGTAACCGGGGGTAACCAGGTGTAACCGGGGGTAACCAGTGAAGCTCAGTGAACATAGTGGGGGGGAGTGAGACTTTTTGGGCTGATAGAAGCTCACTGAACGATGGTTGGAGCCTTATGAGAAGTAAGAGTTAGGATAGGAGATGCTCTGTAACCGGGGGTAACCGGTGAAGCTCGGTGAACAGTGGTTGAAGCATCGTGAGAATGGTTCCGGCCTGTCGTGTGTCCAGAGATGTGGTACGGCGTGTTCCTGTGGGCCGCCGTGTCCTCGCTGGTCTTCCACCTGCCGGCCGCCCTGCTCGCCCTCGCCACGCTGCGCCAGCACAAAACGGCCCGCTTCATCCCCATCGCCATCCTCCTCATGGGCATCGTGGGCCCCGTCTGTGGGGGAGTGCTCACCAGTAAGTAAGGCCCTGTTTCTGGATCTGGGTTTCCTGCCCTGTGAGATGCCGATCTGAGTCCTGTGAGAAGGGAAAACCGCCCAAATACTGATATCCCGATCCAGCTTTTTTAATTTCCTATCCGATATACCGATCCCGGTCTATCAGAGCAAGTTTTAAAGTTTAAAGTTATTTATATTTACTTACTTAGTTGTCAGACTCATGTTGAACATCATGGGCATCGTGGGCCCCGTCTGTGGGGGAGTGCTCACCAGTAAGTAAGACCCTGTTTCTGGATCTGGGTTTCCTGTCCTATGAGATGCCAAATCCTCCCAAATACAGATGTCCCTATCCAGCTTTTTTAATTTCCTATCCGATACCGATCCCGGCCTATCAGAGCCTGATTAAAGTTTAAAGTTATTTATCTACTTACTTAGTTGTCAGACTCATGTTGAACATCATGGGCGTCTGTGGGGGAGTGCTCACCAGTAAGTAAGACCCTTTTCTGTGTTTTCTATCCTGTGAGATGCCGATCTGAGTCCTGTGAGAAAACGCACAGAAACGGCTTCCTCCCAAATACGGATGTCCCGTTCCAGATTTTTTCATTTCCTATTCGATATACCGATCCCGGTCTATCAGAGCACGTTTTAAAGTTTAAAGTTATTTATCTACTTATTAGTTGTCAGACTCATGTTGAACTGGGACTTCCTCTGATAACAACTTAATGGTTAGGACACAGACCTGTGGGTTAGGAGATGCTAATGCTAATGTGGGATCGGACTTAAAAAAAACTTTTAAAAAACAGGATCTGGAGTCTGGATCTGCATTTTCTCCTGCCGGCCGATACGCATTTTTTTGCAAATATTCGCGGAAAAGCCTATTAAGTACAAAACAAAAAAACATTGTTATAACTCCAGACTTTGACCAATGACGCTTTTCAACACGATGATCCGATACTTTAGTGATGCTGAAATCATTAAAGCTGGTAAATATTCACACACTAAGCCCTCTTACAAATGTTCTGAGCTGCCAGTTAAGCTCCTCACAGAACAGAAAAGTCCCTTTTCCAGGGGAAGCAGAGAGCCAAATAAGTGTCCAAAACTCTGATTTTAAAACGGAAAAGGTTCAGACAACATGGCTGATTTCTATTTTTCGACTGTATGTGGACACGTGCTCATTAGTGCTCACTCACAACTAGGCTTGTCCCAATCCGATATTTGCAAAATAATGCAAATGATCCAGACTCCAGATCCATATTTTTGGATGTTTTGGATAATTTTGGATGGTTTTTTTTCCAGATTACCGATTAAAATAATCCAAATACTGAGTTAATAGACTATTTTCTATTCAGGTTTTTTTGTGTTTTGCCTTTTTAATACAGTTTACAATATTATTTGGACTTTTTTCTGTTCACTGATGCGATTTCCGTTTGTTATTTAAATTCTTATCCTATTTTCTGTTTATCCCTAAATAAACAGGCCAGTGTCTCTTTACCAACCAGTGTGTTTTATTCATACTCCCTTTAGAGTTAGCATTAGCATTAGTATCTGTAACCCACAGGTCTGTGTCCTAACCATTAAGTTGTTATCAGAGTAAATCCCTGTTCAACATGAGTCTGACAACTAAGTTCGTAGATAAATAACTTTAAACTTTAATACATGCTCTGATAGGCCGGTATCGGGATTGGGAGATCCCTACTCACAACTCTGTCTAACCCAATCAGTCCCAATAAATTCCACTCCAAATTGGTCCAATTCAAAAAATATCGTAGCTTGAATCGGCCGGAGACTTTCAGAGTCTTCGGGACAAAAAAATGAAGACTTCTGGTTGTTTAATCCTAAAGGAACAAATGCGTTGAGCAGCTTTTTCTTCAGAAATGTGCTAATAGTGTTGTGACGATACTAAAATTTTCAACTCGATACCAATACTCAGGAAAATACTCGATACCATTTTCGATACCACAAGGATAAAAACAAAGACCCCAAATTTAACTGAATTGTGGTTTTTATTTCAAACTGACCTGTTACTGATGTTATCGTGACTGGTGGCCCACATTAATGACCCTAACCCTAATCCTAACTCTAACCATGACCCTAACCCTCACCCTCCACCCTTCATAATTGTGAGAAATAAATATTTTTATTTCTGACCTAATAAATATTAGGTCAACGTCGTACTCGCGCGGTGGTATCGATACTTTAGAAAATGAGTATCGTATCCGGATACAACGTTTTAGTATCGATACTTTTTCGAGTATCGATACTTTTGACAAC